CACAGTCGTCCTAGGGACCTCCATGCTATATATATAGCCTCTATGGTTCTATGGGTTGTGGTCTGATTGTTCTTTATTTTATATCTAGAATCCACCAATGAAAGAATACATACCATAACTGTCTTTCTGGGTTTGGGTTACCTCACTCAGGATGATTTTTTCTAGTTTCATCCATTTGAACATGGGCAATTGAAATAACAGAAATTTATTCCCTTCAAGCATTGGAAGCCAGAAATCCAAAATTAGTTCAAAATTAAATGTGCAATTGAGCCCATCTGGATGATGCGAAGTATTGACCCCATCTGAAAATTGTCAGTCATGACAGCCAACTCACTTTTGCTGTGTAAATTATATATTCACAGACTCTGGGGTTATGATGTAGACATCTATGGGATCATGATTCTGACACTGCAAGGAGGGCTGCCCTCTTCTGAATCGGGGATACAGAAACTGACAAGATAGAAAATAGGTGTGTCTTCTTCAGGGGTGACACCTAAACTCACCAGGACTATAAATGAGTTACAGAGACATGACTCAGTCCGTGAGGATAGGAGTGGCCCCCAGGGGTGAGTTTCTGTTTTACCACTTGACTCTGCTTGCCTGTCTGGTCTTTCTCCTTTCTCACAGATCTTCTGCAGTAACGACCATGGATCAGTTCATCTCAGCCTTCCTGAAGGATCCGTCATTAAAGAATTGCCAACAATTGGCTGTGGAATTCTTGCCTCACTACTCTACATTAATCAGTAAGGCAGGAGGCATGCTCTCTCCAGAAACTCTGAGCTATATTCAAAAAGCCCTCCAGGAGGGAAAGCTGACGGATATGGTGAGCCAGATTCAGGAAGCACTAACTGCCGCGGAAAACGCTTCCTTGGAGATCGCTATCATTGGGGAATCTGGGGCTGGCAAATCCAGTTTCATAAATGCCCTGCGAGGGCTGAGCCATGAAGCAGAGGGGTCAGCTGGTGTAGGGATTGTGGAGACCACTATGAATAAAACCCCCTATCAACATCCAAAATATCCCCAAGTGATGTTCTGGGACCTGCCTGGGACTGGGACTCCCAATTTCCTCCCAGACACTTATCTAGAAAAAGTGGGATTTGCTAACTATGACTTCTTCATCATCATATCTTCCTCTCGGTTCAGCCTTAATGATGCTATCCTGGCCCAGAAAATCAAGGATGTGGGGAAGAAATTCTACTTTGTTCGAACCAAGGTGGACAGTGACTTATATAATGAAGAGAAAACCAAACCCAGAACCTTCAGAAAGGAGAGGGTCCTTCAGCAGATCCGAGACAACTGTCTGGCTAACCTCATTAGTACTGGAGTGTCTGAACCCCGCATCTTCTTGATCTCCAACTTTGATCTGGCTGACTTTGATTTCCCAAAGCTGGAGGAAACTCTGCTGCAGGAGCTCCCTGGGCACAAGCGCCATATGTTTGCACTGCTGTTGCCTACTATCTCTGATGCTTCCATCGAGATGAAGAGACGTCTTCTCAAGGAGAAGATCTGGCTGGAGGCCTTGAAGTCAGCAGCTGTGTCTTTCATGCCCTTGGCGACCTTCTTGAGTGGCTTCGATTTGCCTCAGCAAGAACAGTGCTTGAAGGAGTACCGAAACTACTTTGGCTTGGATGACAAATCGATTGAAGAGATTGCCTACAAGCTCAGTAAGCCCATGGAAGACATCAGGGGCTGCCTCAAGTGCTTGGATTTCTGGTCCCTTGTAAAGGATGATAGCATGGCAGTGAAAGCCGCGAAGTGTGCTGAATCTTTTTATGCCGTGAAAGGAGGTCCTGAGTCTTCTGTCATCCAGGGTGTGAAAGTCTACTTTCTACGCTTAAAATTCCTTGACACGGTGGCTGATGATGCTAGGCATCTCTTGAACAAGTTATAAAGAGTAAATATTGCCTGGCTAAATTCAGTAAATGAATTTAAGGGCTTGTGTGTTTCAAGTTGGGAAGTGGGGTGTCCTTCCTCCAGACTCCCAGGCCAGCTCTTCCCTAAGGTACACAGATGCCTGTCCTGTGGAGGAAGTCCATTGCTTCCCTTTAGAAGTCACTCCCATGTGCAAATTGTTTGACCCTAGCTTGTTTTCTGTGTTCATTGATTTATCATGCTTGATCTCCAGCAGTAACACACTCCCTGCTTTCAACTATTCTCTGTGCTAAGAGAGAACCTGTTGCTGATCCACTTATGCTGGAAAACACACACACACACACACACACACACACACACACACACACACACACACACACAAGACACAGCAAAGCAAAACCAAAAACCAGTTTGTAATAGCAAAATGAGAATTATACATTACTATTTCCCAATTCTTTCTCAGTTATCATCTCAACACCCTCCTCATTAAAATAAAGGATGTTCTATAAATATGAGAACACTATTAAATGGTTAATAAAATGTTTGCAGTGGGAAAACGCAACATGATCAGGAGGTGGTGACAAGATTAAGTAGTGAAGTAGGAGCTGAAGGGACACTAGCCCAATTAGCACACTCAAAGGGATGCTAGCCCACTCGAGCATGTGGCTCTGGCAGGCCTTGCCCTTCTCTCCCACGCCCTCTGCCTTGCTAAAAACTGTTAGGTTACATTCTAAAGGGAGCCACCAAGGTCTTGTCTCTTATTTGACTACTTCCTCCTCCTGAGGCTGACGATCAAGGTCCAGCTATCGAAATGTTGAAGTCCAGCAATCAGAAGCCCCCTTTGGCTCACTTAACTAACATGCCCAATTAAAATTAAACACCTCGTCCTAACATGAGATTTCCCGTTTTACCTTTATAAACAGCCATTTGCTTATGTGCGGCCATCTGTCCCTTCTCTATCCAGAGGCAGTCCTTTGTCCCTCTGAGACAAATACCCTGTCCCCTTTCCCTTCCCCTTCTCCCTCATCCCCTACCTTCTTTATCACCACATCCTAGCCCATTCTAACACAGCTTTTTTTTTTCTTAAAAATTACACTTGAAAAGTCATTTGCCGATGTTTTTCTACATGAGTAAGAAAGCGGCCGCTTTAACTTTTCTTCCCAGTTCAATAAAGGATCTCTCTGTGAAAACAAGTGTTTGTGTTTAATCTGGGGTCTGGGAGGAAGCCCCCACTGTGTGCAGGGTTGGGTTGGGGTGTCTCCTTCAGGAGAAGACCCAGGAAAGATCATGACATGTAAGAGGTGGCAAACACTGGGTGTGTCTGTAACTAGGAACCCTGCACACTAATGTAAGAACAGGTATGGCTGATCGCAGGGACAGCGGAAATCTGATAAAGACTAAGGGATGGGGGGCCAGGCGACGGAAAGGGTGTTGAGAGGGTCCTGGAATCACTTCAAAGAAGGCCTTGCTAGGATTTTGTTTCTTCCTCAAGGGAGATAGAAGGCAGGCTGGGTAGAGGAACAGGCTGCCATAGTGTCCCCAGATGAGGGTCCCTGGTGTCTATTGAAGCATGCTTGTGGGGAGACCAGGGCATCACCTGGGCGGCTGTCTGTATTCATCCCAGATGAGGTCACGGTGGTCGGGAGGAAGTGATAAAAAAACCAAGTGTCTGCTGGGGGAGTAAACACAGAATATGAAGTAGTAGCAATGGCAGCCGAGAGGCTGGGAGGAAGGATTGTGTGGGGGGACCCCTGTGTGACCTGGAGGGCAGCATCACCCCTACCTGACATGGAGGGGAGTGGAAGGAGCTGAAGCGAGGAGAGGAATCTGGGGTTCAACTACATTCACAGAGTCAGAATCTTCCTAGACATACATACCAGAAGGAGGTGTTGTGTAGATAGTCTGATAACTGAGGTGATAGGGAGGGATCCCGGATGATCTAGGATGGGTTGAGTTAACCAAATGGGTGAGCGGATACAGCAGGATCAGAGTCTGGACACTACACAGACACCTCAACTTACTTTCAGGTCTCCTTGTGGAGAGATTATACTGGACTTATGCACTTCTTGTTTCATTTTCTTAAAAGCTGGTAATTCATTAATTTTTTTTTTTTTTAGTCTTTCTTTTGCCTTCGGGATGAAGTGTCTTCTCAAATGCCACTGTCCTTCCTTCATGGTTTAAGGCTCATATTGCAAGTTCATTAACAAATCCCATCTTAAGGCTGAAGTTTTGGTGCTAAGTGTCACAGAACCTTGACTAGGACCCATCCTTTCTTTTTCCTTGGCCTGAGATATGGCCACAGTGTCTCCATTTTAAGGCAACCATCCTGGAGCAACTCCAAACAAAGTGGTGGAGAAGCACATGGCTGTCAAGTGCTCCCCTTCCGGAAGGTGTGAAAGGGTTGGGTTTGGGGTGTTTGTAATGAAACACTTAGAAGAAGCCCTTAGGAGGTGTCATCTAAGGGTCCAGGTGTGATACACCCCGTTTTCACCTCAGGGGCTCTGACTGGGCATCAGAAGGGGTTTTGAAACTTCAGTTAGAAAGGACTAGTGAGACTACTCAGTAAGAAAAGGGCTTTTGCCACACAGACTTGCTGGAGACCTGAAATCAAACTCCTGAACCCATGTAAAGGAGGAAGAAGAATCAACTCCACAGGATTGTTCTCTGACATTCATACCCATGCTATGGCATAACCACCCTCCTCCACAAAACACATTCACAAACAACAACGACAGCGATAAGTACAACCTGCAACCTGACAAATGTAAAGATAAGAATTAGGTTACCCAGCTCAGAGTGGACACAATCAAAAAAAGCCAGAGGGGAAAGCTTGCTGGAGTGAAGTGAAGAGGTGTGTGGTCCATGTGTCCCATCTGACTCACAGGCAAGAGAGAACTGGTGAGGAGTCATCTCAAGTCCCTTCCTGAGGCATTCTGGGAAGGCTAGCTTCAAATGTGATGTGCATATGAGAGAAAATTGTTATTAGTCTTGCTGGCTCTCTCACACGTGGAGCTCAGATTTAAAATGGTATGTTTGTGTGTTTACAAGTGTGTGTGTATTTATACGTGAGGTTGTATAGGTCATGAAATCAGAAAGGGGATCATGAAAGAGGAAGAGATCTTATGGATAGTGGGAAACAGAGATGGTAGTGGAATACACCCAAAACAAAAGCAGAGATGCAAGCTAGCTGGGGAAGAGAGGGAACTAGCTGTGGGGACGGGGTCATGGGGGATGGCAAGTGGGGAGGAAAATGAACGTGCACAAAGTTTAATGACGTGTATGGAGGGGCTGCAATTCAGCCCTTACTTTGTACGCTAGCCTAAAGCGTTGATTAAAATTAACCTTCCTTGTTTTTAATGCCTCTGCTTCCAACTCACCAGATCCACTAGAGAATGTCAAAAGTGTTCCTGAAATGAAGCACAGGAAACCCATTTCAGCTTATCTTCCACCAGCCCCTCCAAGGCCAACACCCAGAGGCCTCTCACTTTCCCATTAGAAACCATTCCCACCCCCCCACCTACCTACTCTCTGCCAAATGTTAGACACAGGCTGGCCAACTTCCTTGTTATTGCGAGCTCTGAGTAAACAGCCAGTGTTTGCTTTCACTTTTGATGTTTATTTCTACAGGTCAAAAAGGAAGCTAGGAACCGAATGAAGATGAATTACATAACAGCAAAATGCACAGGCCGCAGCTGAAGTCGGCCTGATAGAAATGTACAGCTTTAAATATCTGTATTAACAATACCAGATAGGGTGGACTTGATAAAGAGTCACAATTTTTTAAAAGATTTATTTATTTATTATGTATACAGTGTTCTCCCTGTACATAATGCCTGCATGCCAGAAGAGGGCACCAGATCTCATTACAGATGGTTGTGAGCCACCATGTGGTTGCTGGGAATTGAACTCAGGACCTCTAGAAGAGCAGCCAGTGCTCTTAACCTCTGAGCCATCTCTCTAGCCCAGCCAGGATGTTTTATAAGACCTCAAACCAACAACCTGTTCCAATCCCATTAAAAAACTCAAAACAGAAAAGCAAACTCAGTTTAAAAGAAAGTGGGGAAATAAAGATCTGAACAGACAGAAATATTGGCAAAAACTAGCCAAAGTTGGTTCTAGGGGGGGAAATTGATATAATTTACAAATAATTAGCTAAAGTCTAGCTAGACTAATCCAAAGAAAGACATACATGACCAAAATCGGAGATGGATGGGGCAGGCATTGCTGGATCTGTAGAAATGAAGGAATTCTAAAGATCTGTGGAAGTCTTTGTTCAACAAATAAGCCAATATAGATGAAATAGTAAAACTCCTAGAAATACACATGATGAAAGATGAAGACTTAATAGAAATCTGAAGAGTCTGTACCAAGTAAACACTCTGAATAAATGCTTTTAAATCTTCTCGTAGAAAAGTCCAATATATGGATATCAGTTCTACACTATATGTTCACTAGCTAGAAAAAAAAAGGGCTTGAATGATGTTTCTATAAGGAAATGATAAATATCTGAGAAACTGGGTATATTTAAGCAGATTTAGACACAACATACACACGCATTGAAAGATTACATGGTACCCTGTTAATTTTTGTTTTCTTATATTAGAAATGCATTGTGAGTATGTGTGGTACATGCAAATGTTTGTGCATTTGGAGGCCTCTTGGGATGCCCATGGAAGTGAGGGAGCATCTCTCAGGAAGGCTATCGCCAAGGCATGTCCTGAGCCTCTAAGTCTACTTGTGGGAGCTTCATCATTGAATGAGTCTTGAGGAACTCATTCACTGCTCCCAGTATCAGACGGAGATCCTTGGCATCGGACTGAGAGTCAGGTCTCCTCCTGCAATTATGAGCAATCACTGCAGGGAGACCTCTGAGGCCCTGCAGAGCCCAAGGCAGTGGTGCTGTCACCATCGCTGGAGCACGAACCCTTTGCTGGGCCTTCCAATGTCAACATGAAAAGTTGGATACTGTCCCCTCGGCAATTCCTAGTTGACCTTGATTTGCCTTCTGTACCAGATGGGGGCTTAGCCAGAGTCTCTAAACCTTCCACATTCAGGGACTCTTGAGACCATAGTCACTGTTCACAGCCAGCCTTAGGTGACCATTGTCTCCCCACATTGCTGTCTTTGTGAATGACAGTGACTGATTGCAGTTACTGATTAGCTGCAGTTAATGACAGTTACTGATTGCAAAGATGCTGTTCATTTTATGTGTATAATTCTCAGGTGACTACTCAGCTCCATACACTGAAATAACCAAATGAACAAGATGCAGAGGTTTCTGGGCATGAAGGAAGAACCCAAGAATTGACCTGCCCAGGTAACCTTGTGTATGAGTTTCCACAATGGGTGCTCAAAAAGGCAGTAGACACACCCCCACTGTCTCAGGACCCTTGGACAACTATTGGTGGCAACTATTAGTCATGCGCAGTGGCACCTTCTATCACGAGGACATCCTCAGGTGTACCTTTGACAGCTTCCACACTCCAGTTCCCTCTTCTTCAGTTTATCCAGACAGGCTCCCCATCTTTTGAAGAGTTCTTAGGTGGAGGAGAGAGGAATTAAGAAACGATAGAAAGAGAGACCTAGATGATGAGAAGACAGAAACACAGAATAGCTTTGGGAAGGCCTGAGTCAATAACTGACAGCAGCTTCCTTTATGCACAAGGGATTTTTATAACAATGCCAAGGGGAGAGGCAGAAGCACACCGTGCAGCCACGTGTAGATCCTTCAGAACATCAGGTAACCATGACTGTGGTCAAATTGTTCCCTTATGCAGCCCTGCTGGGTAAAGCAAGCCTAGATTCTCTGACCCTGAGTAGTTTCTCACTAGGAAGCCTCTGTGGGCTTCCACAAAGGCTACGTTCAAATCTCTATGAAAATGTTTTTGGCTGTTTAATTGATAACAAAAGCTCATATTTCAGCAATAACAGTGAAGAAAACCTAAGCAGAACAATGTCTAACATCACCTCTTAAAGTAAAAGTTAACCTGGGCATGGTGGTGCATGCCTGCAAATCCAAGATTTGAACCGTACAAACAGGAAGATCAGGTGTTCAGGGTCATCCTGGTGACATAGTGACAACCAGGCTACAAGAGACACTCCTCCCGCCCTCCCCCAAAACCTAAACCCAAACCAACCAACCCCAAATAAAAAAAATACACAATTTAAAACTAAGAAAATCAAAAGGAAA